GGGGGGGGGGGGGGGGGGGAAAAAAAACAAAACTGTGTGGCCAAAAGACCAATTCATAGAAGCTTAAGCTTTTGAGAAGCACTGTACAATCAACACATATAATTCAGACACAAAGAGATTATTACCCATATGCACTATATGTTAATATCGTTGCACCACACTTCACGCCAACCATCTCATCAACATATCAGCTCATATCATCCATCAGACTTTCTCCAGTAATGCTTTCGCCATCAGTGTACCCATTTGTGCCGGTGATGCAGCAACCTGAAATGCTTGAGATGAACAAAAGAAAAAAAACAAAAGGAAAAGGGGACTGAACAAAAAAAAAAAACAGAGATGTTCTTGTCCCACAACACTTTGAAAGACTGCAAAAACCTCAAAGAAAACCTAACATCGTTAGCTAAAATAGTAATTTCGTGAATGTGTTGTTGAATGAAAATGGCTGCCGGCAGTGGATGGCAGAATTCCCTAGAAAAAAACCAAGTGCGGTCGCTAACAAATCCAGAGCTCTAAGTGTTTTCAATTTAGATGTTATGGTCAAGAAACTGCTACTCACATGAACGCCAGCACTTTTTAAAGCGGCAATTTTGTCAGCTGCAGTGCCCTTGCCACCTGCAATGATCGCACCGGCATGTCCCATCCGTCGTCCTGGTGGTGCCGTTTGACCAGCAATGAAAGAAACCACAGGCTTCGCACTGTATCCCTGAAAAAAACACTCAACCTAACAGAAGTGGGCATGAAAAAATGTCGCGTTCCAGTGGCCGAGAACCACAAAAGCGAACAGATTAAAAAATCACCGCAGAAGAGCAGACCAGCATTATTTATTAATTCGTTAATGCAAAAAAAAGAGAAAAAATTACTAGGTAATGCAAAAGTTGCAATCAAAGAGTCATAAAAAATACCGCATTGTTTTCTTTCAAGAATTCGGCAGCTCGTTCCTCTGCCTGTCCACCAATTTCGCCGATAAGAATCATTCCTGTAGAAAATCTCAATTCATTTTAGGGCTGATGTTCGTGGATAACAGGTGGCGTGCCCAACAGTTCCATCTGAACCAAGAAAATCAGCTTAAAATTAGACTTTTTATAATTCCAAATCAAACCAAGCATGATTCGTAAGCATGCATATTTCAGAAACCTATTTTTTTTCACGAATAGGTCCTCCCCAATGCAGAAAGAAGGAAATGCATCAAAAATTCATAAAAGCTATGAGATTATGAGTTAACAAATAGCATGTGTGTGTGTGTGTGTGCTTATACGGTCGAGCGTTTTTGCGATAAACTGCTGCATGGACGAGTAGGACAAAATGCAGAGAATTTGCTTTGCCAGGACGATTTTCATGCGTTTTGTGCTGTGTAACAGCAGTACAAAACGCATATTGTTACGGGGTTGCCTGTGTGTGTGT